AGTATTACGATAATTAAATAAAAACCTTTCTACTATGTCTAAATTGGTGTTCTCTCTTTCCATGTTTTTCTTCATACTAATTTTGAAGGTATCCACCATCATTTCCACCTGACCGTTGGACTGCTGATGGTAAACGGCGGTTAGGGTGTGTTTGATTCCGTGATCTCAAAATTTATCGAACGAGTGACTCGTGAAGTTTGTACCGTTATCCGTTACTATTTCTTCCGGTATTCCAAATATACTGATTGTTTTCATAAGTTCTTTTAAAGTGATGTCTGTTGTAATAAATTTGACTGGAGTTATTATTGGGAATTTGCTGTATGCATCTATTATTATTAACCAATATTTTTGATAAAAGGTCCAGTATAGTCTATATGTATTCTTTCAAAAGGTTTAGAAGTAGTAACCCATGGATGTTGATTGGGATTCGATGCCCAAATATTACATGATTTTCACAATTTTTTACTTCAAGATTGATACTCGTGTTCATACCTGGCCAATACATATAATCCTTGGATAATGCGATGGTCTTTCCAGCACCTAACATCCAATGTGTAATTCCTTCAACATAGTTTTTCTCATGCCTGCAGGAATCACAATTTTGTTTTCTTTGAACAAACAATTATTTATAATACTTAATTCATTTTCCATGTTTTTGTATGATTTGTTTTTTATACCGTCACCTTTCCTTATGTCGTTATAATGATATCCAATATTTCTTTGTCTTTATGTGTTTCCTCTAATACTTTATTAAAATTAATCGGAATATCCCATAAGTCGTTTTTTGTGTTGTCCGTACTTATATTATCAATAATTTCCTTATCTACACTGAGTGGTAATCTTGATAGACAGTCAGGAACTGTATTATATTTGCCTGCTCTATGAATTATTTTAAATCATAAGCTCCCATTGCTATATTCCACTTTTGTAAACGCATCGACATCGAAGTATTTTCTTTCAACCCTTTGGAAAAGATGTAAATCAAGGGTTTATGGTCGGTGATGATAATAAACTTCGTACCTATTAGGTATTCTTGAAATCTTTAATTGCAAATATTATGGCAAGAGCTCGATATTTGTGTAGTTTATCTCTGCCTTTAATAATGTTCTTGATGCAAAGGCTATAGGTTTTTCCTTTCCGGCTCTCTATATGAAAAAGTACTGCTCCAAGTCCACGTTTGGATGCGTCAGCAGCTATATCTATACGTAAGTTTGGATTAAAATAATTTAATGTAGGAGGTTGACTGATTAATGTTTTTATTTCATTGAAATTTTTGGCAGGTTCAGCTTTCCATTTCGATTTTTCTTTGACTATTTTGTATAGCGGGTCTGCTAGGTCGGCAAAATTATTCAAAAATTTTCTGTAGTTCCTAAAAATGTAGAAAGTTCGTCATAAGATTTTGGCTCTCGCATGTTGATTATAGCCCTAATTTTATTTCGATTAGGGTGTATACCTTCTGCATCTATATCATGACCTAAAAATTTGACGTTGGTTTTCATAAATACGCTCTTTGATAAATTTGGTGTGAGAACAAATTTTAATATTCTTTCAAAAACTTTCTTTATATTTTTTATATGTATTTCGTCATTTTTACCCGTTATTAAAAGATCGTCAATATAAAATATTACATCTTTCATGTCTCCGAATATTTTATTAATGGTCTGCTGGAATAAAGCAGACGCAGTTTTGAGACCAAAGGGTAGTCTGGTAAATCTGAAGTATCCTTTGTGTGTAGAAATGGTCAATATGTCCCTAGAGCTCTTATCTATGGGAATTTGCAAAATGCGCTTTTAAAGTCGATTTTGGTGAAATTGTTTCCTTTTGATAGTTTTGCTATTAAATCGTCTATTCGATATTTGAAATCTCCAGCAAGGATTGACTGTATCTTTAAAGTCAGCACATAACCTGAGACTTCCATCATCCTTGAAGACTGGAGTTAACGGACTAGCCCAACGTACATCTTTTACGCGCTCTATTATTTTGTCCTGTATCCATCTGTTTAATTCTTTACCTACTATATCTATTCTGGAGTATGGTATTCTTCTCGGCGATATTATCTTTGGTACGGCATCTTGCTTTAAGCGAAGCTTGATATTAGTTTTGCAGATGGGTTTATCGGCCATTTTTAGTTTGTAATCATGTATGAGTTTAGTAAGTTTATTATTACAATAATCATCATCTATATTTCCTACAAATTTTTTTAAAATATTCTTGAAGGCACTTAGCCAAGTTCTGCCAAGTAATGGACTCTTATTGCTATTAACAACGATCGCTTGTAAATTTTTAACTCCTTCGTAATTTACCCTGATCTGCGGCGTCCCTAATATTCTGATTTGATAGCCGTCATAGCCTGTTAATTTTAAATTAGATTTCTTCAATTCAGTGACGCCTGCTTTCTTAGCTATCGAACTAGGTATTATTGAGAACCTGGAACCTGTGTCAACCTGCATGACCGTTGACAGGTTGTTCAATTTCAAAGTTACTTTATACGCGTTGTTGTCATTATCATTATAATCTCGGTCATGTTATTTACGCTTATGTTTAATAAGTCAAAATCTTTGTTTTCTGCTTTATCACTTTTAAATTCATCAACTTCTTCGATGTTTACTGTATTAATCTTGTTGCCATATTCTATCTGATTTCTAGTATCGTTATTTCTGTTGTAATTGTAATGTGATCTATTATCATATGGTTGATTTGTATTTTGTATGTAATCTCTATTGTTTTGACTTTGCTGTGAATAATTATTATTGTAATATCTATATTGTTGCGTGTTATTATTGAACCTTTGATTGTACCTGTCAAAATTTCTTGCATTATTTCTATCATTAAACCTCTCGTTGTATTGCCTGTAATTATTAAATTTTCTGTTGTCACTGTGTTGATTGAATCTGTGGTTGTTGTAATCATGTCTTGGGTAACTTTTTCGAAAATTATTGGAATATGGTCTGTAGTGAGTATCGAATCTGTTTTGATTGTTGTATCTTATCTAATTCTGATGACGAGGTATATAGTAGTTATTTTGGCTGTAATATCTTTGACTGTCAAAATATGGTCGTGGAGCCCATTGTTGAACATAATTATTATCATAGTGTGCCAATTGTTTATTATCGTATTTGCTAATTTGTTTCGCGTCTGACGTCTTCTTGGTTTCTATAATACGTTTTATCTCTAACTCAGCTTTTGGTTTATCATCCAAGCCTAAAGTGTCTAGTTTAGTAATAGCTTTATGAAAAATAATATCTGTATCAATATCCTCTACCTCACTGCCTGTTTTTATTATCTCCTCTATATTGTTTAGATCTTTGATCTTAAGTTTAATATCTTTTGATAAAGTAAATATTTTGATTTTCTCAATGGCTCTATCCTCAGGAAAGTTGCATTGCTTACCTAGCTGGCAAATCTTAGTCGCCCATTCTATAAATTTCTCATCCTTAGATTGACTCGTGTTATAAAACTCTAAGATTTTATTATTGACATTCTTTTGAGGATACAATATTTTAAGTTTTTTTATTATAGAATCGTAGTTGTTAAATTCTGCATCGCTACTTAACGCTTGTAGTTTAATATAGATATCTTCGGGAAGGTTTTGTGTTAGAATATAAGCTTTATCTGTAATTTTGTTTTTACTTAAGTATCTGTTAATTCTGTCAATGTAGATATTACAAATATCGGAAATACAACTCCGTCCATTTATTTTAGACATTGAAACAATTTATTTTTATTTTTTTTGCTTTTTGATTTTATTTTTTATAAAAAAAATTTTTTATGTATATATTTGTACAAGTGAGTTTTTCTTCCCTTATTGTATAAAATTTTTCTTTTCTTTTTTTTTTAGTTCTCCGTTCAAAAATTGCTATTAGTTTTTTTTATTTATATGTATATAGTATATTTTCTTTTGTACCCTTTCGCGCTCGGCATATTTCCCATGAACACAAAATACTTGTACTTTGATATAATAAAATGATGATTTTGATATAATAAAATAATGATTTTGACAGGTTAAAGATAAAATACGAAATAATAAATATTGTTTTATAAATTAATATCTCTAAGTACCAACCATTAGTTTCTTTAAATATAAAAATTAATTGATTAAAAATTTTGATGGATGACAAATGATCTCGCTGGGCACGAAAGGGTTAACCGTGACCTTTGAAGGTTAAGAAAATTGCTCTTATGTTTTATTTTATTCTTTTTTCTTTTCTTATTTTTTTTTGATCATGACCTGATAAGGTTGTTTTATTTTTTTTAATATATATTTTTTTATTTATTTATTATTTTTTTTTATATTTTCGATAATGACCTGTTAAGGTTGTTTTATTATTATTTTTTTTATAATGACCTGTTAAGGTCAAGGATTATTAACTTAAATAAACTTAATAAAAATAGATAACTATTGAAAATAAAGTATGATAATAAAAATATCATAAAAGTTAGGTGAGTAAGTTAAGTTTCCTTAGACGGTAAATATGGTAAAATAAAAATATCATAATGCATATTTAATAAAATGGTAAAAAAAATATGATAAAATATTAAAATAATGTATTTGGTACGTTACCTTTATTTTTATTTTTTTCGTGAGAAGCCAGTATGTTTATATTATATATTTTTTAGATAGGATTTGTGAGGAAATTTTTTATTTTTATAGTTGGATTTTATATAATTTTTAAGAAGTTAATTTAAGTTTAATATTTTATATCTTTCTTTTTGTTTTAAAATGATTTTGGATTCATCACTATAAGAAAAGTTGAGTGAGTAGACGCTTTACGCTGCCACCATTATGTGTTTGTGACATTTTGTATAAAAATTATATTAGACAAGTATTTAGAGTTTTAAAGTAATTGAAAACATTTGCATAAAGAAAAATTTAAACATTAAAATTGCCTTTAACTATCTTAACAAAGCCAGTTCAATTTCAGGTTCTAAATTATGCTGAATATCCTATCTTTCATTAAATAAATTTAAATATGGGATGAATATTTAATTTTTTTTTTTAGAATTTAGATATAAAAAATAATCCCAATTTCTTAATGCCCCACAAAAAATCCGATACAACTAAAATCGAGGGCAATTATGATTATTACAATATTAATTTCTCACTGGAACACCATTTACATTTGGCTGATATATTACATCCTGGAACAACTCAAGAGAGTAATATTTTAATAACCAATATTTTTGATAATATAAACAATAAAAACATAAATTTATATTTTTTTTTTGGTTTTATGCTATTACTTGTCTACGATTACGCTTGAAAGTCGATGATATGACTAAATCGATTCTTAAAAAGAGTTTGGAGTTTAAAAATAGTGCTGACATGAATACTTCAAAAAAAAACAAGATTGAGGAAGGTGAAAAAGAACGACAAGTGTTGCAAGTTATAATTATTATTATTATCAAAAAACTTATAATTATTGTTTTTATATTTTAATTTCATAAACTGAATTATATTTTTCTTTAAGAGTTGAATATTTTATGGTTATAATGAAAACATAATTAATCATATCTTGCGACTCACGGATAAATTAATTTTTTTATTCACTAAAACATGAGATTAGATGAAGATTTAAATACTTGATTTGTTAACTTTCCACATCCATTCTATTCCCTTTAATTGATAGATGTAAAATTCTTCCAATCCAATAATTTCTTAAATGGAGTATTATCAATTTTTTATGCACTCATTATTTTCTCTGCAGAAATGATTGTATTTAAGTATTTGCTAAAGATCATTAGATACAGAGGCTAGCGTTAGACTTTTTTCATTGGAAATAACACTTTATTTTGGCATTTCTTACAGTTTTTAACGTTAAATTTAATATTTTTATGCTGAGGTTTAGAAATATTCTTATAAGCATGAAACTGTAGATTAATTGATATTAACAAAAATTCTTTATTTTCGCATTTTAATTTTAATTTTACTTTATAAAATTTAATGTTAACTAGAGATATACAGAATTTCGGTTTTCTTCCGATACCGGGCCGTATCTTGATTTTTTGTCAATATACCTAACCGAATAAGTTTGTTGAATAGCTGAAGTCGCGACCCATACCAGCTCTGGTGGGCCAATATATTCGACACCACACTAGGTCGATATTTTCGAACATTAATTTAGTTTTTTTTCATTTAAAAATATTTAATTTTGGAACAATCGAAGTCTGAGTCTTTACCATTTTATCAAATTTAGTAAATAAATTTGTACTAAAAATATTGATTCAAATCACTGATTTTTTAAAAAAAAACCGGGTATAATGATTTTTATATGCAATCTTACTTGACACAATCTAACCTATACAAAACCTATTTTGAGCAAACTTAAATGATATATTTGTATTTAAATTCAAAAGGGTATGTCAGATGTAGCATCTTACGATAAACCTCAAGGTGGTCTTGATAAAGTTGAAAATGAATTCGTCAGAGAAGCCCATTCAACAGATATAAACTGCAAAATGAATTCTAATAATACTAACATTAATTGGTTAGAAAATGTTATTCGAGATCGTATCTTTTCACTTATGGGGGAGTTTATAAAATAGGATTTAATTTTACTTGTTTTTTTTGGGCAATGTTTAGGCGGAGTCTTAGCTAAATTAAAATTTTTCAAGTCAAAACTTTTAATTTTCCAGTATTTAACATGGGAAGCCAATATTTACTTTTTAAAAAGTTAAAATTCTCAAATGCGAAGCTAAAGACAGGTTTTGACTGAAAAACAAAGTGACATAGCCTTAATAAATTATTTATAAATTTTTGGCAGAGCACTTTACTGATTCGGGTCACACCTTTGAGGCCTGGTATCTCGGGAATCAGGTATGTTAACTAGCTAAAATAAACGGCCATCATTTTTTTACCTATATAAATATTTCCAGAAATTGTTAACAATTTTAAAAGGGGTCGGCCGAATCACGATCTAATTGACATGAAAAGCCTAAATATCATTATATTTTTTAAAGGATAGATTAATTTTTTAAATTGATTTTATCCAAAAATACAAAGCAAATTGATTATGATATGTTATTATTAATCAAAATTTAATTTTTATGAATTTTATTAAATATATAGTGAAATTGAAAAGGTTAATAGCAACATAGATTACAGCGATTTTTTTGAACCTTTAATTGGAACTCAACCTGGTAAAAATCTATTATTTGTTTAAAATAATTAAACAAACTTCATTTAGGTATTATTTGCTGGGAAATCGAAAATTTTCTGCCCAATAGATTAGAGGAGGGTAGAATAGTTTAACACTTAAAAATTATAACCTACATGGTTTCCCTTCCAAAAAGAAAAAGCGTCAATTAAAAAATCAAGGTTTGATCAAAAAATGAAAAGGTTCAATCAAAAAAGGAATATTACTAAAGACTTAGCAAAATGTCCTATCAAAAAAAAGGAAAAGCCATTCAATCAAAAAAAGATAATTCCCATTAAAAAAGGAAAATCGTTATTTTTTGTGTATTAAATAAATTATGATTTTTGTTGTCAGTTTAATAATCCTGAAATATCATTATTTTTCAATTTTGAATTATTTTTAATTTTCCTTTTTTTCATTTCTTACTTTTGAACTCTTTAAGTCATTTTTGTCCTCTTTTCTCGATGTTCTTACAATTTTTTTTTTTTTTTTAAATTAATTTCTTTATTTTTTCCTGTCATTTTTCTTCAAATCTTTATTTTTTTGTTATTTTTAGCCATTCTTTTGTCCTTTTTTCGTTTGACATATAGCTCAAATCTGAATTAAATAGAAATTGTCTTTTTTAAAAATGGAAAGATTTTGCCAGAATTCAAAATCCTAATATTGAAGGGGAATTGGTTAGTTTTATAGAGCACGGAGAGAGAAATATCCTAAGAAAATGCCAATAATTATTTTCTAAATATGGAGACCTATATTTCAAAATGTAGAAGCAGGCGCATATGCAGAAATTGTTATGAGGGGGGATTTAAAGAATTATTTTAGGAGTTATTAAAAATATTTAAGTTTCAGAAATTTATTGGGAATTGACGATTTCAATATACAAATTCAAATATAAATTAATGATAAAATATTAAATGTATATAATCCGCGTTAAATCACTTAAATAAATGTCTCGAAAAAGAATTTGTAAAAAAATATTGGAAATATAGATTAATGCACAAAAATATTCTTTAGAATTATTGCATAAATATAAAATAAACTTACAAAATATAGTTATATTAAAAAATGGGAAGAAATTTAATTGACACATGAATTTATAATATGAAATTCATTCTTCATTGGGATTGAGCTAATTTGTATTAATAGTGTAATAATGTACTTACCTTGCTACTATTCTGGCTAGACTAATATTAAATTCATAAAGTTCTACTTTTGACTCAACAATGACATATAATTTATAAAATGTCATCCACATTTACCTTAATTTCCTTAAGTTCCAATATGATGCAGTCTCAATCAAATCGATGTCAATTTTTGAAATATTTTTCTTTAGTTTTGCAGTGAAAAGGTTTCAAATGATTTGGAAATTTAAAAATGGTCAATAAATATAACCTTAAGGAAAATTTGAAATCGATATTAATTCATAGAATAAATTTGTAGCATATTTATTTTAAATCAGTAATACTTATGAAAAATATTTTATGGGTTGGACATGCTGCCTGCGTAGAAGATAATGATTAATATAATTTTTTTGTTTATTACTATACACCTTAATTGTAATGAAATAATTAGAGATATAAATATTAATAAAAAAAAATTTATATTGCCAAAGGGAAGTAAAAAAAAATTATAAGTGAGATTAAAAAATTTAAAAACACCAAAAATTGCTAAATGAAAAAAGAATGGTTAAAAATGACAAAAAATAGAACATTGAAAAAAATGACGGAAAATGAAGAAATTATTTTTAAAAAGACAAAAATAGAATCATCAAAAATGGGAAGAAGAAAATAAAATAGAGAAAAGAGACAAAAATAGATTAAAAATGATTGAGATCGCAAAAATTTAGAAATAAAATAAGTAGTAAAATTAAAAATATCCAAAAATTTAAGAATATATTGATGATATTCAGGATCAGGATTAAAAAACTAATAAAAAATTGTAAATTTTTTTAAGAATATATAAAAACAAATAACGATCTTCCTTTTTTAATTGACCTTCTCCCTTTCTCGGAGGACTTTCCCTTTCTTGATTGACACTTCCCTTTTGCTCAGACCTTTTCCTTATTTGGATGGGAAACCATGTATAATATTAGCGGAGAAAATATTTATATTTTTAATCTTTTTAGCACTTAATGGCAAATTTTACGATGGTGATTGTTACATTGTTTTAAAAACTTACTACTCTCAAAATTATGAAATTAACCCAACCTTATCTTGGAAAATATTTTATTGGATCGGTAAAAAGGCTTCGGTAATTTGTTTAAAATTATTTGTTATAAAAATAATATAATTAAATGTTAATTTTCAATATTTTATTTTACTAAAAATGATATGTACTAGGTATAACTGTAAATTAAACCTATGTAAAAAAATCGCCTTTTATACAGATTGAACTATTTCAATATCTTATCTTACTTCGAAGAAATGTTTATGAAACATAACATACCCCAACTTTATATATATTCGTCAATTCGCAATTTTTTATTTTATCATGCATTCTAAAATTTTCGAAAAATAATATTCAATTTAAACTAGAAATCTGCAAATTTCGACCTATTTCAGCCCGTTAAAAAATTTTCACAAGTTGCCCAGTAAACCCGTTAAATCTTTTGCTCTTCATGCCCATGAAAATTTTACAAAAAGTCATGCCAGCCTATTAAAGTTTACAAAAAGTTCAACCTCCCCCCCCCCTCGTACATTTTTTATGCGAATTTTCCCGCCATATCATTTTTAATATCTATTTTCAATTTTTTCCCAATATCAATTAAGTCCCCTTATATTTCTCCTCTATGGCATCTATTTCTATGATTTTATAAAATTATTTTTAAAATCTATTTGTTATTAATCATATCAATACAAATAAATAAGCTGTAATTTATTTTCAAATAGTATAAATCAAAATATTAGCTTAAAATTTAATAAAATATATCAAAATTTTAATGCCCGAGCTGGCTGGCCTATTAAAATTTTACTAAAAATCAGAGACTTGATAGGCCCTACATGATATTTTATATACAAATTGTCCGACTTTGCCCGAAATTTTTTATGCAAGAATAACTAACCTGTTGTAATCTTTTTACATATTCCTGGCCCGGCTTCGGACTAGCTAGGCTTTGCAGATCTCTAATTGACATTACACTTTTTTTAAATATAATGATTTTTTAATTTTTGACCTCATTTTCAATCTTATAGTCCTAAAATTTGCGGCGAAAGCACGCTATTACTTTATAAAATGTAGGGGGCACGCTAATATGGACAAAAAATAGAAGTGAATTTTTGTTTATCCAAGAATGTGAGATAAAAATATTTATGTATTTTTTTAAATATTTGGTATCGAAGCATTTCATATAAAATACATTATATCTATATTATATAAACTATTTAGAAAGTTATAAAAAAATTGAAATGTATTGCAAAAAATATATATTGCATAAAAATATGTAATTTTTAGAATACATTTCATAATTATTAAAAATAAAAATATTACTAATATAATGCATTAATCGGAATAGTTCAAAAAAATGAAAATAAACAACAATATTCCTCATAGTTAATCTTTTTCAATATTTTTAACAATATTAAATGCACGCTTCCTTGATTGGTTATCATTTATAGAATCTTTATAGTGACCCAATTATTTCAAAAAGATTGTGCCGTTAATAGGGTTTTAAATTTGCATAACTTTTATAATAAAGCTTCTTGCTTTATCGCTTGCCCACACCATTTTGTTTCCACATTTTATAAAGTCTTTTTAATTTTTTTGAACCAATAATCGGGTTATTCACACTAGCATTTGTTCAAACTTCTATTCTTTTAGCGTCAGGTAAATATTTAATTAATTTATATAAGTATATACATGCAATATTTATAGTTTATATATATATATTAAATAGGACATTATTATAATAGTTTTATATAAATATTTAATAGGAATGGACCAAAATGAAAATACCAAGCAGCACAAACAAAACAAAAACTCCTTAAATATATATATCAGAGATCTACAGGCCTGGGCTGGACCTTATTTTAATTTTTTTAGACGTATCAGGGCCGAGCCGAAAAATTTAAAACTAAATATTTAAAATCTCAATTATTATCAATAAAAATTAAAAATAAATATATGTTTAAAAAAAATCTGGGCCAGGCCTGAAATTTTAAAATCCAGGCCGCATATTTTTTTTTAAAATCCGGGCCGGGCTATATAAATGGTACCTCTGAGGGTCTCTGATATATATATAAGATAAAATAAATATTTATTTTAAAAAATGAAACTTCTTTCAAATTCTTTAATTTTGACATAAATATAAAATATTTAAAATTTTGAGGCATGACATTTATTTAGTTAAAGTAAAAATTATCCAGCCTAGCCCAAAAAACCTTTTCCTGTCCCTGATTTAAAATACTAATTTGTTGGATTCTTTTTTCATATACACTAAGTATTAAGAAAATTTATACTCCTGCTAACTATAATGAACCATATTTTTTAAATTAAAAATGTGACTTATTACACTATTATATTATATTTTAAAATTTAATTGAACTGATATAAAATTTTAATTTAAATTAAATCAATTTAATCACTTAGTATTGGCTAATTTATCTTGTACAACCGATTACACTGTAAATTTTTAAGATTTTCCTGGGCTAGAGTGGGGAGATTGGAAAGTTTATTATATCATTTATCCATTAATTCTTTTACTTAAAATTTATTGATTATTAATCATTTTTTTATTAAAGATAACATCTACATTTCAATTCTGACTAAAATTATTAAATATAAAGAAAAAAAATGTAATTTTTTTAAAATAACATCTAATTTTAAATTAAAATAATCTATATTTTTTTATATTATCATGCATACAATATTAGTTTAAAAAAAATGGAGCAGAAAAATTGCATGATAAATCTTGTAAAGAAATAAGATTGCTGGTGAGAATCGATAACAACTAAAGTTGTCTTTTCTCATTATGTACAACTTCATCAAAAAAAATTTTATTTTTAAAGAGACTTCTTCAGACTCTTCTTTATATTCAAAAATAGTTTATAATACAACTTTATCTATGATTCCAATTCATACCAAAAAGTTCATCTCACATGTAAAAAAAATCCATCCTTATGTATTATATTACAAGTATCTTCACCCATGATAATACACAAGCCACAAATTTAAAACCGCCTAAATTAACATATTTAACAAGAGATATAACATCTATAACTACAAACAAAATGTTCAATACAAGAGACTCCCTCAGATTCTCCTATATATAATGATGCAATTTCACTCAAGAATCCAATTTCGCTTCTTTTAAAGATAATAGCATTCTAATTTTATACCAAACTTTCTTTTCAAATGAAATAATAGAGTATAGCCCGGAAGGTTTAGGGGCGAATCATGCCCCACGGGGCCTTTAGTCTTCCAGTCCGCCCCTGTTCGCAGAAATAATTTTATGATTTAGTGAATCTTATATACTATTGTCATTGGATGCCTAAGAAAGTATTCTACTACTTAGACTATTGAATTATCATGAATTTCAACAACAGAATATATGCTTAAAATTTGGTGAACTCTTTTAAAAATGCATTTTACTACCCTGCAAAAGCTATACAATAATTTCATCAATAATTAAAGCAACTAAGTTTCTTGGTACTTTGTCTGTCATAACCACTATAATATAAACGCGATGTACAAGTCTTAGGTTCATGGGTTGGATTGGGTGTTTTTATAAAAAAGCGAGTTTTTGTGGAATTGTTGCATTTGAATTTAAATGAAAAAATTTGACCCAATAGGTTAAAAAATTTTCCTTTGGATAACTGCTTCTGTGCATGAAAAGCCATATAATAGATTAGAATTCATAGATGAAGGTAATTGTAATGTAGAAGTTTCTTTTAAAGTTAACGATAGAATTGGAATGCAATTATTATTTAAAGGAAACGATAATTGAATCTCGGATTGTATTATCACATAAGGTAAAGAAGAGTCTGGAATTTCTTGAATAAATGAATATTTTGTTGGTTTAGTTGTAGATTTTATATCACTTATTATTAAATATGCTAATTTACACTGGTTTAAAATTATGGTTTGTGTATATTAGGAATCAAATATTGTATTAGAATATGAACCAAAAATGATACAGATTAATTTTTTTTAAGATGTGATTAAGTTGAACTTTTTATGGTATAAATTAGAATTCAGGCAAGGTTGTATTATCACCTTTTTTGAGCATAAAGGAGAATATGAAGAAATCTTTAGGAAAAATGAAGATAATTTTGATGAGGTTGTAATTGTTATTTTCAAAAAAACAACTTTTGTTTTGGATTTTCACCAGCTACCTTAAGTTCTTTAAATGATTTATTATGCAATTTTTCTGATCCACTTTTGTATTTTTTTTATTATATATTGTATGCATTACAATATATATAATACAGATTTAAATTTAAAATTAGAATTTATTGAAATATATTATTAATGAAAATTCCTTTATTACTGAATATATCTATTAATTAAATTTTTATAAGTTGTTTATATCATAAGAAAATGAATCTCACTTCAATTAATAGAGTTTATATATATATATATAATTTTTACTTAAGCATTTGCAATTAACCTTGACATTTGTATTTTGGGCCTTTGCAATTTAGTCAAAGCGATAAAATAAGCGTAAACTTCATGTTTAAATATTACAAAAGATATTATGTCAAAATTTAAATTATTAGAAAAATCACAAATTTTTTTTAAAAAAAATTTTATCTTGGAAAACTTTTAATTTTGACTTAAACAAGTGAACTCAATTAATCGAAGCTTAAGAATGATGTTTAAATATTAAAAAGAAATTATGTTGTAAATTTATAGTATGATAAAAAATCTCGATTTTTTTGATCTTTTAAATTTTATCCAAAATTCTCGTAAAAAGTTTTTTTTTGTTTCTTATGGATAAAAAATCTTTTATGATGAAATCAAGCATTAAAGAGTTTTTTTCCTTATATATAACTTTGTTTTTCTTATTAAGTTTTTAATATTGCAATTTTTTTTGAATGATCTAAGTAAAGTATATTAGGTCTTGAAGATTATAGGGTCTGTACAACTAAATCTACCAACCGTTGGTTGATTATTATTTCTTATTTTCTGGGTGAATCGGAAATAAAAAAATTTCAGGTAGGTGGTGTTTGTGATATAAATAAATCATGGTTTGATTACATGTTATTTCACAATTTTTTTCTTTTTAGATTATTTTTTATAACATCCTAATTAATCAAATATTCGCGATAAATATATGGGATTAGAAATAAGTAAAATCATAAAGAACAAATCCCTGTAAGAGCTGAATAATATTCCCAACAATTTCATCTCTTAATTTTTAACATTTTTTTATTTGACATTATTTTATTTTTTTAATTTACCAAATCATTTATCTTTAAAACATGTAAACAAAATATAAAAATAAAATATATATATATTAAAAGTGAATATATATTTTAAAAATATCGATGGCTCTAAAAAGAGCTTATAGTAAAAAGGTTCTTAAAAAACAGGTATAATTATGTTTAAAAATTTTTAATTGGAGTTTTTGTTTAAGAAAAATTGATTCGCGTTTATCGTTTGTAATGTTAAAAATTTTACGTGCTAAATTTAAAAAAAAAAATATGTTGATTGTGAGAAATTGCCATTAGTTGAAATGACTATGGGTTCAAAAATAAAGTTTTTTAGTATTGAGTATTCATTAATTTTTCTATTTTCCCCGCTAGTAAGAGGGTTTGAATTAATTGATGAGGGAAAGGAAGAGACGCAGGTTGCCTCCCATATTAGGGATTTCCCATTGGACCATGGGGTGCAGGTTAAACCGTCAGGTCTGATACCATCTTGTAAAGAGAGGTTTGTTGGTTCTAGGATGTTAGGTATTTTAGCCTTATTAAGAGCGTTATGGATGATTTTATTTATAGCTTTATGCCGGAGGTGGCGACCTTGGCTACGGGAGCAGTTTAGGCCGTGTCTTGCGTTTGGTTGAACGGGTAGGTTGCAACGGTGGCAAGTGTGTGAATGTGTAAGCAAGCATCCAAGTCTAAATCCTATCGTAACTCTCAGTTGGTCATTGGTTAAGAGATTATCAAAAGTTAGGCTTGGAAGTGCCTCGAACCATTCATGCCCTCCGTATTTATCGTTTAGTTAAAGAAGTTGTATATCGCTGATATCTGAAAGGTTAAGACTATTTTGTAGTTTCTTTATAAGGGGTTCCAAGATTGATTTATTAGAAATTTCAGTTGGGAATGTTTGATCCTCTGGGGTTAGTAGATTCCATCTTTCGATTGCTACTGTTAAGAGATCGTCATTGGGGGTTATGAAAGATGAGATCGCGGAATAGCGAAAGGCGATTAGAGATAAAAAGAGATAGGGAGAGTAATTCTAAGGGGATCAGGTCGATACCACCAAGTTTAGCGGGTAATTGAGCAAGGTGCCAGTTAAAGTCTGATAATGGAAGATTAAGGATCCTTTCCATAAAGGTCTTTAAGCGAATATTATGTTGGGTGAAAAATCCTGAGGAGGATGAGTGGAAGAGGTGCGAGATTTTAGGTAAATACAAGCACTTTTTTAATAGATAAAAAAGTTGGTGCGATGGGATATGATTGATGAACTTTTCCAAGTTTTGCATCTCGGAGAAGGTTTTATCGATAGTTTTTTCCGAAATTTTATTATAAGTAGTGGGGATCCCAAGAGTTGGATATCTTCGATTTCGATAATATTGTAATCTTTAAATGAGTCTAGGGGAATCTCGGGGTTGAGTATGCAGATTTCTGTTTTGGTTTTGTTTAATTTTAGGTCTATTTTGTTATCAAAAAAAATTTTTAAAAATTTCTGATTTTTATCATAATAAATTTAATTTCCGACGTAATTTCTTTTATAATATTTAAATATGAAGTTTAAGATTATTTATTTGCTTTCTCTTTTTTAAGCTTAATATGCTTATAAATTAATATAAATCTTTGTTTATTTACCCCCTATTTATTAATAACGCATATTTCACTGCAACAATAACTACTTATAAATAATATCCAATTATAACAATTGGTTATGCAAAATTATACATTAAATATCAGATTTAAATTTAAAAAACAATGATTTAAATAAACAATTACAATATTAGGTTTAAATTATTATTATTTTATAATTCATTAAATAAAATAATTTCAAATAGACGAATATATAATTTTTTAAATTAACAGCAACCAATTTCAATTCAAGTAATGTTGCGTTGGCCAAGATTTGAACTAGGCCTTTGAGGCACGGTCGATGTTTATATATATTTTAAACGATATTTAAATATTATCTCTAATTTAGTTGGACAAACAAGTCTGTTCAGCTATGCACGCCGTGAATTTACGAAACTTTTTGAGGGCCACTTCGTGCCGAACCTCTAGGGAAGAGCAAAACGAAGAAAGCCCCGAGTTTATGGAGGTATTCGATTACAATATCAGGTATATCGAAGGGGGTAGAACGGCGACGGGATTTTGTAGCATCGTTCCTAAAGTTTGACATAAAATATTTAATTGGATGTATAGCAATACATAAATAATTTCGATTGGTTATTTTTCTGAAAAAATTAATTTTGATATATTAATTTAACATAAAATAGCTTTTTGAAAATCAACCAATAATGAAATTTCAATTCGATTGTATAATAATATTTTAATGTAAGAAAAATAATAAAATTTTATTTCCAAATTTTTATTTTATGACTTGGGCTTTTAAAAAACGGAAAATTAAAAAATGCTCATTTATTTTAATATATCTCAGGCATAAAAATATCAATCTATTTCTAAAAATTAGAAATCATAGAAAATAATGTATGTTGATATTTTTAAAATTGATTACATTGGGTCGACACTGACCTAGAATTTATGTGGCTTGAAAGAGCTTCAATTTAAATTTCTCCATGGGCTTGGACTTAACATTTAAATAATTATTAATATAACGTTTGTTTGTTTTTATTTAAATTTTTAACAAAGTTTATCATGATAATATAGGAATAAAGTAATTTTTTGGTATTATTTTTATGGTACATTTGTTGCAAATAGCTTAGATATTTTTTTTTATATCACCTATTCTACCAAGGCCTAGATTTTAATTTTTCCATGGGCCTGGTCATCTCCAATATATTTTTTAGCTATGATGGGCTGAGCCTGGACTTAGATTTTAATTTTTTCACGGGTCTGGGCTGCGTAAGGCCACAAGAGTTCGGCCAATAAAGGCCTCCCTAAAAAGGACCTGATTCGAGCTTTTTAAAATATCAGATCAAAAATTTATCTTATTATTATTATTATTTGCTTTTCTTTTTCTGAAAAAATTTTTGATGCAATTTAAGTGTGTTGGAGTTTATTGACTTTACTGAAACAAGATTATTTAAAAAATTCTTTGAATTTGCAGTTTTCAAATGGCATATGATATTATTTATAATGAATGTTAACATTTTATCTTTAAAATTATGATTATAGCTAGGGCTGTGCCGATATTAAATATCGGATCAGATCGACACCGATATCTAGCGTTTTCCAAAAATATCGGATCGGGCCGATACCTGTAAAAACCCGATCCGATCTTTTTACTTTCTTTTTTTTATTATTTTATTTATATTTATTTTACATTAATAATATTTTCTAATTTTTTTTTTTTAAACAATGCAAATGCATAAGACTCCTTAAATTTTATTTATTTTTTTAAATAGATTTATAGTATTTTCAAAGTTTTTTTATAAAAATAGTAAAGAACACCCAAAGTTTTATTTATTTTAAATCTTTTTAAATAATAACGCCAATTTTATTATTTATACTTAAAATAAAATAATTTTTTTAAATATGGTGTCTGAATTCTGGAAATATTTTACAAAAGTGAAAGATAATTTTGCAAAATGCGTTATCTGCGGAATTCGAATTTCACGAGGAGGAATAATGAAGATTTCATTTTAAACTATTAATCCGTATTTTATAATTATTGTAGAAATAAAAAAATTAAATTAAATGCATAATTATATATTTTGCATATAGCAAAATATTGATTTCTTAATTACATTAGGTTCAAAGGGGGGTGGTGAAAGATCAATATGAATATCGGATCGGTTTTGACCCAATATCGTATCGGATCGTTGAAAAATATGTGGATTGGCACAGCCCTAATTGTATCTATCCTTTCCACTAGATCTACCAGAGTTTAAAATGCTCTGCAAAATAAAAATTAATCAATTGTTACCTTAAATTACAAATCCTTTTGTAAAAAATATTTTGTGATTATTATCAAAGAAATTTTCATAATGAAATCAGAAATATTTTTAATAAATATTGATCTTTAAAAAATATCTTCGAAGATTCTCTTCAAACTCTAATATCAACTCTACATTCATATTGTTCCCAAATAACTCTATTTAATGAGGACATCAATCTGATCATCATGGTCAATTAATTCCGAAGTTAATATTCATAATTATACTAGATATTTTAATAATTAATTACTAAAAAAAGTTTGAAATATTAATTTTCTTATAAAGCTTTTAATAAAATTAAAAAAATATGGTTTGATAAAGTAATCAAAATAAACAAATATTACACTATTTCATGATAATTTGAAAATAGTTGAATTATCTTAATATTTTTATTTTTAAAAATTTAAAAATCGATTTTATTCATATTTAAAATCAAATATTCTAATAATTCTATTTATTGAGAAAACCGAATAATTTACTATTCGTTTTTACACATAAAAAAACCGAATGCAGGTTAAATTGGTTGATTTAATAGGAATTCTAAAAATATTTTAGGTATTAAAAATTAATCAAGCATTAATTTTACTTGTGTCTCTATGTATGTCTTAAATCAAAAATATACTAAATCATCGATATGATCTTTTTGTTTGTAATAATTTTAATGAGTCAATATAAATTAAAAATTTATTATAACAAGGTCAGATTAAATTTTGAATATATAAAAGTTTAAGCTCTTTATTCTGTTTTTTCACATAAATTTATTTTATGTAGAATCAATTTCTATGACCATTTTTTCTTTGGGAATATATGATATGGTTAAAGTAAAATGAAAAGAATAAACATTCATGCCCCTTATCAATAGTTTTTATCAGTGGCGTAGCTAGGAATTTTCCTTAGAGGGGATCCATACATATATAAGACTGGGGGGCTGCCCCCCAGTCCCCCTTTACGGGCCTTCGGCTGGGTTTATCTTAAGTAGATTATCTCAATATATATCCTTCCACGAACATCAAAAATTTAAATATTCATGGTATTTATTTGATATAAAGTAACTTTTAAGTCTTTTGAACGTATAATCTAAAAAAAAAATTTGCTCTGGGAGGGGTCCAAACCCGAAAACCACCCCCGTAGCTACGCCACTGGTTTTTATACAACAGATTAAGATCTGTATTGTTGTTGGTATTGATATTTGTTGTCTTTAATTATTAGTGTTACATAATGAAAGTCAAAAATGTTTATAAACAATATATTGTTATATTTTGTTACATATGTATTTACATGAATTAAAGTACTGTTTAGTATTTTATTTTCTATCATATTTTTTTACCGTTAAAAAGTTATTTATAATAACATATTTTTCAATTATTTTCGTGCACCAAGTTACTCTTACTATACATGATTTGTTTCTTAATTAATTTATGGTAATATTTATACATAGATAGCATTAGCACATGTTATATATTTTATATTATATTATTTGATAAGTCCATGAAGTTGGCCCCCCACTTTTGGATTTTTAATTGTTTATTAGTTGGACGGATTTGTACCGTTTTCAGTTCGATTTGTACCATCACCGTTTTTGAGATATTCAAAAAACAAAATGGGGGCCAACTTCACGACAGTCACCAACTTTTGAATTTTAAAAATAAAAGTGTATAGGTCGATAGAAAATGATTTGTACCGTTTTCAGTTTGATTTGTATCATTACCGTTTTCCAGCTATTGACCGTTAAAAATATGGCGCCAAAAATAAAAAACACTCAAATTTTTTTAAAAAAAATTTCTTAACTTACAACGATAGAGAATTTTTTTTCTCTTCCCAGTGATGCCTCAAATTAAGTTTTATCTCCATTATTTATTTCGGAATCAAATTTTAAACCTTATATTATAGCGTGAAGTTAGCCCCCCCCCCCCGATATTCAAATTTTTAAAACGGAATTGATTTGTACCGTTTCAAACTCGATTTGTAGCAATACCGTTTTCCAGCTATTGACCGTTAAAAAATATGGCGCCAAAAATAAAAAACACTCCAATATTTTTATAAAATTTCTTAACGTACAATGATAGAGAATTTTTTTGTCTTCCTAATGATGCCTTAAATTAAGTTTTATCTCCATTATTTATTTCAATAAATTTTTAACCTTATATTTTAGCGTGAAGTTAGCCCCCCCCCGATATTCAAATTTTTAAAACGGAAATGATTTGTACCATTACCGTTTTTCAGCTATTGACCGTTAAAAATATGGCGCCAAAAATAAATAACACTCAAAATTTTTTTTTTAAATTTCTTAACGTACAACGATAGAGAATTTTTTTCTTTTCCTAATGATGCCTCAAATTAAGTTTTATCTTCATTATTTATTTCGCAAAATTGATGGATTATGTAATTTGATAAAACCCAGTGGGTTATGATGTATTATTGGAAACAGAAGGTCCCTGGTTCAATCCTGGTAAGGAACATAAAAATTTTCTGGTTTTTCTTCGATGACTGATGTGTAAAGAAAGACATATGGTAAGATGAATTTCGGAGCTTAGAGATGACACCCCGGTCACCGACAGGCCTGGACAGCCGGGTGCTAAGGATACTTATCCAATAAACAAAAATAGGAATATGAAAGTTAGGGTGTTCCCTCCAAGCGACGCGCAGGGTGTAGACCTCCATCCTGTGAAAAGTAAAATAAAGGTCAAAGCAAAGAAAACAAGGTTAGCAAGTTTGAATATTGATACGCTTAAAGGTAAGACGAGAGAATTGGCATCAATGTTGAACAAGAGAATATACCCATCTCCAATCATTAAAGTCTTCTGACCTTTCCATTTCGTCTCTTGTATGCACGCTATATCAACTATAATAAAATTGTTAGCAATAGGAACGGTGTCGGCATCATCCTCAGTCAAGATTTAACCTCCTCAGTGGTAGAAGTCAACAGTATCTCTGATTGACTAATGAAAATAAAACTCTGCATTGGTCAATCAATACTACACATCCTTTCAGTATATGCTCCTCAAACGGGTTGCAAGGAAGAGGAGAAAGATGACTTTATAGCTATCCTTGATGAAGCTGTAATGAAAATCCCTAAGGATGACTTAGTAATAATATGTGGAGCTTAAATGCGCATGTGGGAAAAGCAAGAGACAGCTACAAAAGGCATCATGGTGGTTTTGGATATGGAGAAAGAAATGATTAAGGAACATGTACTGAAATTTGCGCAAGCCTTCGATCTTGCCTTAACCAATACTTACTATAAGAGGACAGTTATTTAATAACACATGAAAGG